TTTGGAGACAGAGTCTCACTCTGTTGCCCAGACTGGAGTTCTGTGGCACAATCTCGGCTCACTGCAAGCTTCACCTCCCGGGGTCACGCCATTCTCCTGCCTCAGCCTCCCGAGTAGCTGGGACTACAGGTGCCTGTCGCCATGCCCGGCTAATTTTTTGTATTTTTAGTAGAGACAGGGTTTTACCGTGTTAGCCAGGATGGTCTCGATCTCCTGACCTCGTGATCTGCCCGCCTCGGCTTCCCAAAGTGCTGGGATTACAGGCCTGAGCCCCCGCGCCTGGCCTCGTTTTCTTTTCTAACTGAGGATCAGGATTGTTAGACAAATCCTAGAGCAAATTAAGATCACAGAAAAGAATCAGGGTTTACATTCAGGTTTCTTGATTCTTGCTTTAGCGTTCTAATCTATGCTGCAGGAAGTTATATATGTACACATGCATATCATGTTTCTGAGCATACATGCAACATATACACACAGACACGTAGAATGTCAAGACATACATAGAATGTCCATAATATATAGTATTCAATATCTGAAATAAGACATTTTTAAGTTACTTCTGAAGGCAAATATGGCAAAGCAAGTTGCCTATTGAGTGAATTTCTTACATTTGACTTTGAGTGCATTTTCAAAGTGCCTTTCTTCAGTCTTGAAGGGCTAAGACTGTAGGGAGATAAGACTGTGTTACTTCCCAGTTATGGCACATTCTCTTTCTAAGCTCAGGTTGGTAACTTAATTCTGTCCTCTCTCCTCTTTGTCCTTCCTGCTCCGTTCTGACAAGAGTATGTAGCTTGCCTGGTGGGGTCTTTCAGGGACGCCAGGGCCCTGAGGCTGGGCCCAAGAACTTTTGCTTTCTTTTGTGGTCCTGGGACAGTTCTCTGACAGTGGCTGTCTGGGGTAGGGGACCCACATTGCCTACCCCTACCTGGGCTTCTCGCTTCTGTCCTGTGTACTTGCAAGGAGTTTGCAGGACAGCAGCCAGAAAAAGGCTTTTAAAACCTAAGTCAGGGCATGCCGCTGTCCACATACAAACCTCCACAGGCCCCATGCCTCACAGGGAAGAGAAGCCAACATCCTCAGTGCCCCATGTGACCACTCCCTGCGTCCTCTTCCTCTTCCCTCCCGCTAAGACACAGGCACAGTTAGGACTTTGCTCCGTCTGTTCCCTCTGCCTGCATAGGTCTCCCGGAAGAAGTCTGTGTGGCTTTCTTCCTCCCGCTTTGAGGCCTTACTGAAATGCCACCTTCTTACTGGGGACTTCCCTGACCACCCTGTCTAGAAGGGCAGACTGCCTGGTACTTCACGTTCCCTTGTCTCGCTGTTTTTCTCTCTTAGCACTTCCCACTGACATACCATTTATGACCTACATAGATATTGTGTCTTTTTCATTTCTTGCATTGTAATTATCATAAGCCCCACAACGGCAGGGACCATTGACTTCTCTTTGTTGCATTGTTTCTATACCCGGAACAGCTCTTGGCATATAATAGGTGCTCAGTAAAGATTTGCTGAATGAGCAAAGGATTGTCCATGAAAGCAGTGCTCTTTCCTTGACAGAATCTGCTGTTTATCTAAACTATTACATCTTGTAACACTCATAAGAAAGATCAGGGCATAGAAGTCAATGAGGAGAAATTTACATATTTGTTTTACTGGGAGCCTTGTCATATGTGTGTACAACACATGGACACAGGCGCTGGTTATGTTCATCAGAATTCTTTTGATTGTAAAAGTGAGAGATTGATTAGCTCACATAACTGGCAAACCTGGTGTTTCTGGCTTTTGGAAGAGTTAAATTCAGGTGCTCAAATGGTGATATCAGAACTCTATCTCAGTCACTCTTTTGCTTGCCTCTGTGTTGACTTCATTATTGGATGGTGGCCACATGGTAGTCTGCAACTCCACTTTTACAGCCAATTAAACTAGCCAGACCATAGCAACAGAGCACCCCTGATATGGTTTGGATGTTTGTCCCCCTCAGATCTCATGTTGAAATGTGAGCCTGGGCATTGAAGGTATGGAGTAGTGGGAGGTGTTTGGGTCATGGGGGTGGATCACTCATGAATGGCTTGATGCCCTCCCCACAACAGTGAGTTCACGTGAGAGTTGGTTGTTTAAAGAGTCTGGCACATTCCCCTGCCCTTGCTCCCTCTCTCACTGTGTGACACACTGGCTCCCCTTCACCTTCCATCATGATGGAAGCTTCTTGAGGCTCTGATCAGAAGCAGATGCTTACACCATGCTTCCTGTACAGCCTGCAGAACCACAAGCCAAATAAACCTCTTTTCTTTGTAAATTACCCAGTCTCAGGTATTCCTTTATAGCATCACAAATAAATGACACAACCTCTTTCCCAAGAGTTCCTGCCAGAGTCCCAGAGCTGAGGCTCCTGGATGCTTGCTAGATTATGTGGCCCTCCCGAGATCAATTGCAGGGTCTGTGGATCTGGTGTCCTCTTTGGCTGGATGAGGTCACGTGAGGGCAAAGGGGCCACATGAGATTGGAGAGAGGCATCCTGCTATTTCTCTCCGTCCTCTGTTCTCTTTTTATATCCACTTGCCTCCCAGAATCAGACTACACATGACTGACAAACCATCTAATACAACATTTAAAATTAGACCTAAGTAGATAGGATGAAAGTGGGCGGGAGTGTGGAAGAGAGAGCTGACGAGTGGCTTGGAGTTTCCCTATGTGTAGTAAAGAAATACTGGTGGGCTGGTGCTTGAACTGGTGCTGAGAGGGTAAGAGGCTTGGCTGGGTTTCACACCATTCAAAAGAAATAGGAATCCTGCAACAGTCTGCAGGCCTTTTATAGAGGTGATTGTATACTTCTTAAAGCTAGTCACCCAACCAGGCAAGCCAAAGTCAGATGATTCTTTTGTGTCTTGTGAATGTAGAAAGGATCGTTGAACTGTAATCAGCTCAAAACCTGTGATCCTAGGCTGGATGTGGTAGTGGCTGATGTCTGTAATCCCAGCACTTTGGGAGGCTGAGGTAGGAGGATCACTTGAGGCCAGGAGTTCAAGACCATCCTAGGCAGCATAGCGAGAACCTATCACTACCAAAACAAAAATAAAACCAAAACCAAAAATACCTATGATTCTAGAATTTATTGGTTTTTCTTTTCACCTCTGTCTTTGGAAATTGCTATTAAAAAATAATATGTGGTTGTGCTTTCTCTGAGACTGGTGTTAGGAACTTGTCTCACAGGCATTTCTTCCTATATCTTCATGCCTGTTGCTATTCCAACCTTATCGTCCTTTTTTATTATTTTGCTACTCTGAGCTCTGGTGCTTACTACCAGCAAAGTTAAATAGCTTGCCTGCTTAGTTAGGCATAAAACACAGAGAATGTGCCAGCATGTGGATCTTTACCCATGCTGGGAGATGGAGGGTGAGAAGGCTAATCTCTCAGCATTTTATGTGGAAGAAAAATATTGCAGTTTATTTGACCTTTTACTTATGGGAATAAAGTAAGGGGTTTAGTGCTTTTACAAATCGAAAGTACAGAGAGAAGAATTAGGTATTCTTAAGCTAAAAGTGATGAGAGTATCTAGATTTCCCTGTGTGTGTGTGTGTGTGTGTGTGTGTGTGTGTGTGTGTTCTTCTTTCAAGCTTGTCTGGTAAAAGAAATCTTGCAGTATCCTTGAGGATAATAATACTTAATAGAATTGGGTATTTAAATACAGACATGACTCAACAGAAACAGCCATTCCATGTTCAATGAAGTGAACTTTTCCACCTTCTGCAGAAGACTGCACTAACAGAATCATATTGAATAGGCAACCCTAAATTAACTGAATTAATTTTAATGATCAATTTAAGTGTTAATTGGAAGCTTGTAAGTTTGAATGTAAAATGGGGATTCTACGGGTTATCAAAATATGTTTCCATATTTCTTGATATTTAGGCTTAAAAAAAAGAACAGTCAAAGTGATGTAACCATCTCAGTCGTTAACAAGCCGAATCTTTAACTGGTGTGACAGTTATTGTCATTATGCTAATAACAGGAGATGGGATTCTGTAAGATGAAGCATTAGCTGTTCCAGTCCCCCAAGGAAATAGTAAAATTCAGCTCCATTGGGTTGTAATTAGAAAAGAAGTATATTTAAATACTGAAAAAAATCTTCGCTACTTCAGCACACAGTATGCCAAGGGCATGTGTGAGCAGCTTTTTAATCTCTAGGTGTGGCCTATTTTATAAATATTTTCATAAGCATTTATATACTTGCCATTTGGCAATACAGCATTGTGTAATCGTATCCATATGTTTGCCTTCTGAAGTTGAATAAAAACTTCTTGGACAGGGCTAGCTGTCAGTTCTTCATCTCCCTCCTCCATAGGGCAGTTTAGGCTCAAAATGAGGCTTTTTCACTGGCAGGCGGGCCCGGGAGGAGAAGATGATCCAGCTTTCTTTTTCCACATTTTCTTTCCTTTCACAGTGGTGATGGTATTAATGACGATAATCATCATAGCTATTATGGAGTACTTACTTGTTTCTGTCAGCCAGATTCATGCATCAAGTAGTCCGATCCCATCCCTACCACCTGTTAAATAGCCATTGTTGTTATTGCCGCTGTACAGATGACACCACTGAGCCACAGAGTGGTTAAAGAACTTGCTTAAAGTCACACAAATAGTAAGTGGAGTTTCTGGGACACAAACCAGGTAGCCTGGCTGTTTCCTGATGGCTCTTAACTGCACCTCCGGCCGTGACCTGTGTTTTTAGCCATTGTTTCCAATTCCAGCAGCTTCGTTGGCCGGGCCTATCCTGAGTGGGATTTGTGATCCCTCTGTTCACTTTTCTTTCCCCTCTTCTTGTTAGGTCAAGTACAAAAGAGATTTTGAAGAAAGCAAAGGGAGAGGCTTCAGCATCGTCACGGACACTCCTGAGCTACAGAGACTGAAGAGGACTCAGGAACAAATCAGTAACGTAGGTGCCTGTTTATTCAATAGCATGATGGCTCTGACATGCATTTCTGGATGAGAAAGGGAGGCTGGGTGACTTGGAAGCGTTTGTGTTGCTGCGGGGTGTAAGCAGTACTCAGCGCACGCACAGACTATGCCAATTTCATCTGGTAAACCCTGCCCTCTGGTTCCATCACAGTTATCTAGGGCTCAGTGCTTAGTTACCTAATAGAAGATCTCCTTATTCCGTTTTGAATGGTTCTCAGCTTTCAAATTTTTCCAAAGTAGACCTTTTATAATTAAAATAAGAAACTTGAAAGTTAAGTTTTGACTGTGGGTAAGCATATAAAATATACACATAAGGTCAGGAGTCTTAAAAAAATCTCCTATTTGCTGACTATGTGTCTATAAGATTTCATACTTTTGAATTAGATATTTGTTGAAATCAGGTATTACATCTTACTTTTGAAATAAACATTTATATATGTAGTTGCTTTGGACTTTGAAGCTGTGCCTTGTTTATTAATATAGTTTCCTCGAAAGAGAAGCTGGAGACTAGCAGAGTTCAAAACATATTAGGGAGGTATTAATTCAGTCCTTCTTAAAGGTGGACAAACAGCTCTTTTTAGTTTTTGTAATTCACACCTGTGATTATATTTCTTCCAAAATATTACATGAAGTGTATCAGGATTTATTTTTTCACAAAAGTTAATTCAATGTTAGATATGCAAGAGGAAATATGAATGAAAATTAACAAATGTTTGGATGACATAAAAGTATGAGCAAACAGGCACACTCATACCATTTTTCATGAGAACTGTATTTTGTGCATCACTTATAAAGTCACTAAAATTTGTATATCTAGGTGTTATAACTGATGTAGCCCTAATTTCCAGGACATGTTTAATTAGCAGATGGTTTTAAACTCACTGATATTTGGTCATCATCATAAGATGTATGTATACATGTATGTGTGTGTATATGTATGTGTATATATTATATATGTGTTTGTATAAATTATATGTGTGTATATATACACACACATATAAATACACACCTACATATACAATTTGCAGATAGAATTACATATAATTTGAGAAAAAAACTTTTTATATGTCTGAAGTTCAAAAACAGAATTATTTCATGTTAAACAATTTATTAGGAAATGGGAGGGTGCAAAACAGACATTGTTTTTTGCTCTTTAAATGGACATTTTATATTACTAGGGATTTCCTTTGAAGAAAAAGAGTTGAATTTTAAGACTTCATGACATTTGTCCCTTAGTTTTTCTACCCAGTCCCAGCAATCCATCAGTCATGAATACTGAAGATCACTGTCCTTGTTTTTCTTCCTCTTTATTCTTTCCTTAAATAAAAAACATATTTTTACTTTTAAAAATGCAAATCAATGATCTATTTCCCTGGCAGTTACATTTAACAACAGTTCTTTCTTTGGATTATTTTTGGAAAATGTTTCTTTAAAAAATAATTCTGCCAGAAACAGTTATATCATACATCTTCAATGATCACTGAATTCTATTTCAAAAAGAACTAAACATTTCTACCTAAGATATCCACATGACAGCTAACATAAGGATTGAAGCTGATCAAAGGTAAGCTTTTTAATTTTTATTCAAATTTAGTCAGTATTCATATTTAATTAAAAAAGAACTGATCATTTTACCAACCTTTATCATTAGCAGGAATATACATTTTATTCAATACCAGAGGTCGTTTGCAGATCCATTCTTAATTATGCAAAAAACCCTTATAACACAGGTATGTATTAATCTATATTTATCATATATAGTATGTTATATAGACAGCAGTATAAAAAGCGCCATTTAGATTAAGACTATTATTTTGACAATGCTGGTTTTTAAAAGCATGTGACTTAGACAACATCTTTCTTTTTAAAAAGAACTGTTTGCAATGTCTTGATGTTAGCAGCCATAGCAGTCTTATAAGTAGTTCTCTTAGCCAAGATGAGGCATATTAAATGTTTGGATAGCTGTAAAAAATATAGACTTCATAATATTACTGTTAGGGACCAACTCTTGAAGAAGGGAGGCTGTTAAGTGTTCTGAGGTCTGGTGAATTTATTATTCATTTATAAGACTGCAACTTCATGAACTTTTTCCCTTACCTCACTAGGTTTTCCATATTACTTAAGGATCTTTTTCTATAAGAAACTTGGGTTGATCCAAAAAGTAGTACTTTGGCAAGTCCAGTTTTCCATATTACTTTAATCTAAACCCACTGAACAATATTGGCTAAAACCCAAGCAGATATTTTTTGACAGTGGCTGGATTGTGTCTGTTATGAGAGGAAACAGGTGAGAAAGTGTCTAGACTGGAAAGACCCCAGAATCTTCCAGCTAGAGATGCTGGGAAATTATAATCCTGAAAATTATAGATCCTGAAAATTATTAGGGGTATGAAATTTGTGAGTCTTGCATTTGAGCACTAAGTTTAATATCGCTTAATGTAGGTAGGTTAACTGAAATTGGCAGTCTTTGCTATGTTTATGTTTCCCTGTGTTCCATTTTCTTATTTGTTTCTAGTTTACTGTATCTCTGAATATCATGTGGCTCTTTCTTAACTGCCTTTAATCTCCCCTGTGTAAAGACATAAAGCAGTGAATTTAATGACAACTCCTGGGTGTTTTGGGTAATATGTTATGCATGAATGGGCGTTTTTGATTGCCTATGTCTGTTGTCAATGTTTTGAAATTTTTTCAGCTATTCTCATGTTCGTTTATTGAGGATTTGAAATCATTTGGATTTGGACCACTCAGTGTGCATATGTTACTGAGGTGTGGGATAAAATGCAACCATAAATTTCAAATTGAGTGTGTGAAAGAGGTAAGAGTGGGTGAACTTGCCTTCTTTGGGTAGCTATAATGACAACATGTTGAACATGGGAGATTTATTAAATACTGCGATTTAAAATTCTTCTGCTATGTTACCCACTTAGTATAGCTGCAGAACAATACAAGAAAAGAGGCAGGATTTCAGAATTGACTAAATGGCTAGGAAGAAAAAGAACTTGGCTTCTAAAAGAAAGGAAAATTATTTTTTTCCCTATGAAATTCCAGAAGATGTCTTCATCTCATTGAATGTATTAATATTCAGATGGAGTTTGGTTGCTTATGAAATTGAATGTTAGGCTTGGGAACAGTTTTTATGGGAAGTCAGGAAATCCAGCCAAATCGTTTAATTGAAGATAATGTTTAGAAGTCCAGGTTTTGTTTAAACTGTATCTCTTCAGCAGAATGAAACCTGACAGCCAATGTGTTCAGCACTGACTTAGGAACTGTGGGCTAGAAAGCCCTGCCCTACAGATTTTCACAACTGTGTCACTTAATTGCCATCCACCCTCTCCTTGCCCCCAAACTCTAGGGCATAAATTCAGAAATGGCAGAAATATCTTTATACATCACATTTTCTTTATTTACCAATATTTTAGGAAATGTGGTTCTTAAGGGACAGTATCCAAATTTGAATTGAGGAATACTGTGCCCATGGGCATTAAAGAAAAAACCAACAACACCCTTTTCTACGGCTACTACAGGGCTAGCTCATGTGAATAACTGTAAAGGCTCTTTCTAATTTCAGATGGTTCCCACTTTCAAGTTTACAAGCAGTGTATTCAGGGTACCTGCAGCAGGATCTCAAAGCAGAGCCATCGCCAGACATTCAAGGGACTCAGGCTGGCTTTGAGAAGATTACTGATGTTTCATTCTGGGTGTTTACCCACTAATATCAGCTGCACTTTCAATTAGCTGAGACAGTGAGACAGTCTAGGGATAAATTGTGAAATAAAATGGTGAAGTCAAACCCCAAGAGACTTTTACAGACTTTGTGCCATAGATAAAAACTGGATATTTATATTTATTTCAGGGGGAAGAGAAATATCAAATGAAGGGGAAAGAAAAAAAAATCCACCAGATGACAAAATCTTGTATTTTAAAGACTGACTGAAATAGTGAGTGTACCATTATTTGATTTGTCAGGATTTCTGCGTGTTCTTGACAAATGGAGAAAATAGTTTTGCATGTCTGTGTGTGCGTGTATCTGTGTATGTACCACTGTGTGTTGACATCAATGAGAGTCTCTAAAACCCCATTTTCCTGGATCGCTGGTCTATAGACATTAGTGTTTTCACCTGCCCTTTATTATTTCCCTTACCTTGTCAGTGTTCATAATTTTGGTTGTCTGTCCGCTTTACCAAATATCCTTTTTTGCTACCACTTTCAATTCTGCATACCCATTCATAAGAAATGCTTGCCTACTTTACAAGAGAAGTTAAGAATGACACTTAAAAAAAAATACCAAAAAGTAATCTCTCTATAATTTGATCTTGCAATATAATTATTTTTAGCTCTTTTGCTACACTACATAATTTTTTCACTGACTTCTTAGAATGTAAAATAAATTATATGCCCATTAATAAGCTCACACGGATACTGCTGATTTAGTTCCCTGAGATTTTGTGAGTTAGCTTCAACAATATTAGATTATTGGGACTAAACCTTGCCTAATAATTGAATAGTAGTGTCTATGGGCTATTAAAAGATTTGATTCAAAGTTCGGTTGAGTGCAAGGGTGAACATGAGGGTAGGGACAATTATCTAGGGATTTGGTCTCTGTTTGTAATTTAAATAAATCATTTTGACAGAGACTGACTGTAACCATGTTCAGGCTGCTGACAGTGTGAAATTGAGTTGTATGGTGGACAGAAGACAAGCAGTCAAGAGAAATCCCCAAAGGCGAAATTTGTTATGTAATTGGGTCAATTCATGCATGAGCAATGCATGCTAATTGTAAACTGGTGGCAAAATTATCGTGTATGAGGCAATTAGGTCTTGTATGAATCTAAGCAACTGACATTGAAGGAGATTTTTTTTCTTTTTATATTCAGCAACATTTTTTTTAAATATGAGAAAGGTAAAAATTATAAAGTCATTCATTAAAATACATTATTTGTTAATTTTGTTCTTTATACAAGAAGCAGAAGTTTTATAACTAATGAAACATTTATGTAAAAGCTTCTGATTTTGAGTAGTAAAATCTAGTACACTAAATAGTTTGAAAGGAGAATGAATGTTATTTTTATTGTAAGTCATAAGTGGGTTGATTAACAGAGATGATTAGTTGCGAGGTCAGTGGTTTAGATTTAAGCTCTTGAAGGCTAGTATTTTTACAGAGTGAATCTATATGTTGCTTTAACGGACTAGACTTTATCTGTAGCTCATCTCAACCAATAACTCTGATGAATTCCCAATAAATAGTGGGGTCAGTAGCATTATCTTTAAAAACAAAGATTAAAGAAAGAGAAAGTGATAGGGCAATAACACATATTTTCTGATAATATCTAACACATGTAGGAATGCTTCATTTATTTTGAAACACTTTGACATACCCTGTTTAATTAGATCCTCTGAACAACTGCTCCTCAGGAAAAGTATTTCTATAAGGATAACTTATACTTTCATGTGAAAAATGTACGGAAAATTACCTCTTGGTCCTTTCTTGTTTCCAAATCTGTGGTTTCCCTTACACCTGGTTTTGCTTTATTTTTCCATGTACAGCAGAACTTCAAAGGCTGATCTCTTCTTTTTAGCCTCAATTTTTCAGCCACAGTCACTTAAAGAAACAAATACATCCCAGACCAGTAATTACTTGTGCATGTCAAGTACAAGAGTTTTGGTTGTAAAATGGCATTGTCTAAAGGGGAGGTTTGAGAGGAGCCCCCGTAATAAAGTAATTAACACATATGACTTTTTTTTTTGAAGCAGAGATGAGGGATTCAGCAAACAATTTGTGAAGACCCTTTTTTCATGAAATCCTTTTTTCCCCTATTCCTTTCTTTTCAGTTTCACTGTTTTCAGGCCATTATCTTGCCTGAGTTACTGCAGTAACTTCCTAATTGGCCTTATCTCCTTCTGATCCTTTTATTGAATCTAAAACACAATCACCAGATGAGTTGTTCTAAAATATCTCTTTCATCAAGACCCTAATTATGACCCACTAAAATACTTTAAATGGACCTCCAGTTTGAGTAGGATAAAGTCTAATCTCCTAAACCCTTTAATTTTGACTCTAAGGACCCTCCACAATCTGCTCCTAAATGACTATTTTTCACCTTATCTTTCGCTGTTCTTCACCACTGTTCTTCCATTTCTTTTAGGCCGGCCTACTTACTCTGTTCTGGACTTTTGCATGAATCATTCTGCATGTTTAGGACAATTTTACACTATCTGTAAACGACAGCCCAGCCCCCTGATCCCAGACACACACTCAAACCCAGCTACGGTGATGTGTCTCATCTCTGAATTATTGCGAGGCTTTGTGCTCTAACACTATCATTTGTACCACTCATTTCACACATCATATTCTCCACTTCGGTTTTAATTGGCATTTTATGTGTCTATATGTCTGACCTCCTTAACTTCCCATAGGTGAAGATCATCTGTGTCTCCTTCTATGTATGTTTTATATCTGCAAGAACGCACCAGATGGTGCTTTATACTTTGCCTTTCTTGTCACCTCCCTAATTTAGGGCACTCCCTACCCCTTGATAGGAGTGTGGGAATAATCTCTTGACTTGGGTTATTCTCCATGTAGTTTCTTGCAAGGTTTTCCTAAAATGCACATCTGATTATGTCACATCCTCTTTTAAAATCTGTTAAGTCTCTCTACTGCCTTTAGGATAAAATGTAAATCTTTTGCTTGGAATGTGAGGCTGTCCCTGGCTTAGTGCTAGCTGAGACCTCCAGCCTGGGAGGCCCTCTTGCAACCTGAACCCATCCATTTCACACTTCCGTCTGCAAGGCCCTTCGTACCTCTCCCCATCCACACTGTCTCAGAGGCTACCATTGAGACAGCCAGATGTGTGGGGGTCCCCAGAAAAACTCCAATCAGCCTGCCCGTTAGGGTAGAGCCTTGGGAAGTTTATGCTGTTTGCAGAGGAGTGGTGGTGGGGGAGCCAGGCCCCTCCTCTTCTGTGTGGAACCTGGAATTTGAACTATGAGGCAGGAAGCTCTCTAGCAGGGGACTCTGGCCTTGCAGGGAGTCCCTGTTTCCCCCTTTTCTTCCTTTCACCCAGCAAAACCCTGTCTTACTCATAATTCAAATTGTCTGTGAGCCTGAATTTTCATTGCTGTGGGACAAAGGACCCCGTCTTTAGCTGAACTAAGGAAAAGTCCTGCAACACCATCTTTCTCTAGCTACTCTGACAGTCAGCTTCTATAGCTGCATTATGAGTTTTCCTACCCTCAGACTGAACTCTATGAAGAAATGGGCTGTGTCTTTTTTCTTTATAGCCCCAGGGTCTAGCCCACTGCCAAATTTAATAAACAAATGAATTGACCATTTGTGTCAACAAATCTTTTTATTTTTTACTTCGATGAGTTAATCTCCTGGCCTTGTGTGAATTTCATCTTACAGTGAAGATTATTGCTAGGAGTTCTAATCTCTTTCAAAGTCTACGTGTCCATTGCATATCAATTTTCTTCCTGAAAGCTGCCAGATTTTTTTTCTATTGTATCATTTTCTAGCACAAAGTAGTTATCAAATATTTATTCAGTAAATAGCTGGATTATGTTATGGGATTACTTTCTACATATCCAGGGTGTTTTTTCTTTCTTTTTTTCTTAAGAAGAGTTTGCCATCCTATCCACTTTTCAGTCTAGGCAAATAAAATCTTTCCTGGAATATATGCTGTAGTAGAGCAAGGAATGAGTCTACCCCTTCAACGCAAGATTGGTTATGCCTAGAGTAGAGCTCAGTACAGAGCACATGCTCAGTAAATGCATGTGGAATAAATGAATGAGGCAATAATATGTAAAATATTGACTAATTTTGTACATTTCTTTTTCTTAAAACTCCTCGTTGCAAGGATATTTTTAGTTTCTCAAGTTGCTTTCAACTTTATGATTCTTTTCTTTTTGGTGCTGCTTGATAAACACTACCTTTTACTCTCTGCTGCTTAAATATCCAGTGACTTCTATAGTTTTATCAAAGGATTGTAGCAACATTTCCTCAGTAAAGCAGGATAATTTATTTTCAAATTACATTAGAAATGCCAGGACTTCCCCTATCTTAAAATACCATAGGAAATTCTTTTTGGTGTCTAATCCAAGAACCTAATAAAAAAAAAAAAATAGGACTTGTCTTAGTCTGCTCAGGCACCATAACAAGATATCGCAGGATGGGCAGCGTAAAGCAACAGAAATTTTTCTCACAATTCTGGAGGCTGGGAAGTTCCAGATCAAGGTATGGTAGGGCTGGTGAGGGCTCTCTTCTTGGCTTGTAGATAGTTGCCTTCTCGCAACATCCTCATGTGGCCTTTCGTTGGTGTGTGCACGTGGAGAGAGAGAGGGAGAGCAAGAGAGATCTCTGTATCTCCTCCTCTCAGAAGGACACAGACCCAATCGGATCAGGGCTTCCTTGTGACTTCATTTAACCTTAATTACCTCCTTAAAGTCACCCTCTCCAAATACAGTCACATTGGTGGTTAGGGCTTCAACATATGAATGCTGGGGTGGCACGCAATTCAGTCCATACCAGGGCTGAATGAGGAATGATCTGCATATTATCACAGGGAAATTTGAGGTATTTAAGTGACATACACTTTGTGAACATGCTTTGAAATATCCAAAGTGTCACATCATTATAAGCTGCTATCATGAGCTAATTTCTTGATTTTTCTTTTCTTTTTTTTTTTTTTTTTTTTTTTGAGACAGAGTCTCAGTCTATCACTCAGGCTGGAGTACAGTGAGACAATCTTGGCTCACTGCAACCTCCACCTCCGGGGTTCAAGTAATTCTTGTGCCTCAGTGTCCTGAGTAGCTGGGATTACAGGCATATACCACCATGCCCAGCTAAGTTTTGTATTTTTAGTAGAAACGGGGTTTTGCCATGTTGACCAGGCTGGCTTAAATTCCTGGCCTCAAGTGACCCACCTACCTCGTCCTCCCAAAG